CTGGTATGGAAACTAAATATGTGATACAGTATAATAAACATATAGATTACAGATTGAATGAATCCTAAAATCATGGTCTCATTGATTGCTGATCATGTGGTAACAGCTGGAGATGCAGTTGCCTTAATAGTTTGCATGCTGTTGAACTTGAGTGATGCTAAACTTTCACTAATATTCTTGTTGTTGTTGCTGATATATTTACTTTAGGTGATGTAACGGGGACGTTCCTACCGAATGATGAATATGGGGAAGAATCCGGTGACAGTGAAGAGAACTGTAAAACAAGAAGCTTGAACAGCATTTACAAGAGCACCCAGAAATTGAATCCTGTTTATAATTCAAAGGAGGAAAATGAAATGCCCATTATTGGGCAGTGCAAGAAATTGAAAAGGATGTAAAGGGGGAGAAAACTAATGAGCAAGGTTGATGCCGAATCTGAAGAGGCTGATATATAAGCCATGGAATAATGTAAGGGTTAGGTTTTAAGCTTCTGAAGCTAGAGCATGATGATGATGAAATAAATAATTAGTCAAGGAATTATATGTTGATTAAACTTCATTAGACCTTGAAAACAATGTTAATTGGATTGCATTTCTTTGTTTATATATATATGGATCCTTAGCATGTTAAAGAAATATGGCTGTGAAGGTTTTTTCTTCTCTATGGGAAATAGAATTTCATTAATGTATGAAAATCATAAGGATTACATGACTAACTTGAATGGGGCAATAAGTATGAGATATTACACTCACAATATGTGTAAAAATGTTAAAAATCAAATAATCTAATACTTATATAAATTTTGCAACCAAACCTAAGTTGGAGATTTAGTAGTTAAGCTATATTCTAACATATCTAGATAGCAAATAAATTGGTTGGAGTAAAAAATTTTAGGTTAAATGCTCATTTTGGTCTCTCAACTTTATTGGTTTGCATATTTTTGATCCCTCAACTGTAAGAAATGCATAATGTTTGTCCTTCTGTCAATTTGGACTGTTAACTCCGCCCACGTGGCATTTTTTTATATTTTTTTGATGGCATGGAGAAAACAGCTTAAAAAGATATTGATCTAGACTTTTTTTTGATGACATGTCATCTTCACGCACCAAAGCCCTTCCAATGGATCCCACATTACCTGTAAAGACCACCAATAAAGAAGTCTTTTGGGTTTCTCTTTTAGCAGTAAAAAAAATCTAAAAACTTACCGAACAAAGATTTTCTTCGAATCCAAACCTAGATTTTCTTTGAAATTGCAGAGATTTTCTCAGAGTGATTCCAAAGATTTTTCACAGATTTCACTAATTAATCATCATTAAATTATAATTATTTATATTAATCAAAATTGAGATTCTAAATTAATTTATAATTAAATCACAATTTCCTCATCAAATTTTCTTAACAAAACAGATTGAAATCATTTTCTCAACAACCAAACACCCAAAATGTACAATTTTCTAGCCAAACAAATGAAAACCCACTAAAAATTGCTTCTTTGCCCATCGGTCACTGCTTTTGTTTTTTCTGTCGCTGACGATGTTCTTTCCATTTTGAACATTAAAATCATTTAGACAATAATTAGGAAATATGACACAAAAGGATCCCAAAAATCCCTCACAACCTGCAATTTGCATAAACTCTTCGCAACAAATATATAACAAAAAAAAAAAAAAGTGAAGCTAGGTTCAGTGGAACCTAGTTGCTGGGTTCCTCAAACCTAGCAAATCTAGGTTCTGGGTGCGACGAAACCTAGCCTGGGTTCCACTTAACCCAGCAAATCTGGGTTTGATGGAACCCAGTTTGCTAGGTTCCCTTGAACCCAGATTAGCTGGGTTTGAGGGAACCCAGCAACACAGAGGAGGAAGAGGAAGAAAGAAGAGGAAGAAAGAAAGGAAAAAGATGGATCGAAAGAGAGGAAGAAGATGGATCAAGAAAGGGAGATAGGGGTATTAAGGTAAATTTGTAGTTTTTATTTCACTACTAGATTTAGGGTATATTTCGGTCAATCATATTAACCAAAATAGTGCCTTATACGACCGAATAAATCATATTTCGGTCAAAACCACTGACCGAAATATAGAGCCCGAATAGCCTCTGTAGGAAATAATATTTCGGACAAAATTTCATCTTAACCGAAATAACTCATCAATTTGGTTAAAATAACTGACCGAAAATGTGAGTGGAAAATTCATTAAATAACAACTTAAATTCGAATAAGTAATTTGATCGAATTTAATAATAATATTTTATGTAAAACTTTTGGTCAATATAATTGACCGAATTAAACAAATGGCTATTTTTGGTATTCGAAATTACTTTTTTGGGGTTAATAACTAACCGAAATAAGGGTACAAAAACACTTTTCCAAGCCCAATTTCGGTCAATTAAACTGACCGAAATATATTGGCAAAAAATATTAAATTTTAGGCGAAAATTTTAGGCGGATGAACTTGGCAAAATTTTCAAATTTATTTCAGTCAATTATATTGACCGAAATATATCTGTAGACATTTTTAAAATTTGGGTGGAAATTTTACGCGGGTGAAGTTGATGGAAATTTCCAAGTTATTTCGGTCAAGGATATTGACCGAAATATATATCCAGATTTGAAAAAAATATAAATTATTTAATAGATTTTAATATAAATAATAGATATTATAAAAACATTTAGTACTAAAATAATTCAATATTAATATTATGAATTATAGATAATTGTTATTTATTTAATTTCTAAATATTTAATGTTTTTT